GTCATTCGCAGCGGCAGTTTAGCAGGCAATGAAAATGCATGCATCACGAACCGATATGGTGAAATTAATTGTTTGAGGAATGTAGTCAACGATGGTTTGGGGGGGGATCATATTATATATTGTGCTTGTTTACATGTTCAAGTATGCATCAAAGTGGTCTTTGTGTTGCGAATCAAATAGAATATTTCTATTCCTCAGCGACGGGAAAATAGTCAATTACGAACCGTTAAGTAAACTTTTTGTGTGAATGTCTAGGCATAAAGAAGTTAAAAAGGAAATGCTGAGGCAAACCATCCAAAATATTCCGTTATTAACTGGTTTTCGATACTGTTTTTTCGAAGACAAAGCTAGATACAAAATTTATCAACTCCTCTGCTTGTGGCTATTTTGATTACATGTATGTGTTTAAGTGTTTAGTGTTGCTTAATTAAGCCTAATTAAACCCATCGTTACACTCGTTTCATAGTAATAATATTGTTGATTATTGATATCAGCCTATCACATTTTGATTTATCTGCAACATTTGACCCATGCGTTAGGTTGCAATTAACGATCCAGTCACACTCTTTAATTTAATTTCATTCTGTATTGGCACAATAGGTATTTTCCATTTCCCTCCTACAATGATGCCTCTGCTGTTTGAAAGGAGGGCGTCTCCTGAAGTTGACATACCAAAAGAGCCACCTCGACTGCAGACGCCATTCATTTGCAGTCAGAGTGCGCAGCAAATGGAACTCTCTACCACCTCGCGTGGTCTGTGCGCTAACATTAGTATCTTTCAAGCGTCAGCTTGATGATGCTCTGGCAAACATTATGTTTCAACACCCAACTATATAATAATATATTCTCCTGTGATCGTCAAAAACATTACATTACTATTTTACTTTCATGGACTTGTGAATCGTGTTCCGAACCAAAGTGTAAACACCCTATGGGATTTGATAGGCGAAGTCTTTGTAAGTTTTTTTCCCATAATAAAAATTTATATTTTAATTTGAAATTTGAATAAACTTGGATTAAACTAATCAGTTGGTTTATCGTAACCTGACCTATCAGGACTGTGCACTGCTTGACCGCTAGTACCGTAAACATAAAGAAGTTTAGAAGAACCCAAGTTCTACAAGCCTAAGTATATTTAGAGGTAATGGATGGTAGTTGACTCCGATTTCAAATACTTTGTCCCCTAGCCACAATGACGCTAACGACATCGGCTGTAGGCAGCAGTTGAGTAATCGTCTGTAAACAAAGATTTCGACCATTTAAAAATTGTTTCAATGACTATTTAGAAGAGGAATACGAGCTAACTAACTCTGGTAAACACATTGTGCGAACGCATTCCTGATTTACCATCGTTATACAGAAAATTTCTTCTAATTCGTCGTCTGTTAAACTCATTCGGACTCATCATTTAAAATTAGATCAATATTAACCGAAACCCTTTCGCTGTATAAACGTGGCGGAAAGCGATTAAGGAATATCTAATCTTTGCAGGCTGATGTGAACAGTAAACATCATTGTCGAAGCAAACAGAAATGTCATTTGTAGTTTGTAATTTGTTTGCAAGAGAAGCACTGGAGAATGAGAACCGAAAACCCCGTTGTCGCAGAATTCTACAGACTGCCAAAAGTGCATAAGGAAGAAATTTCTTTGAGGCTAGTCCCCTCCTTTCCAGGAACAGCTATATACAATGCAAACAAATGGCCAAGCTCGGCGAACCTTCGAAATGGAATTCAGCTCACCCGAGCTACGAGAACCAATTTTCAAAACTTTGTCAAACGGGAATATAACATTTGTTTTCCGTTTGCGCGGCCAATATGATTTCACTGACATCAAAGGGTTTTGGTTGCCATTTTTCGGAAGTCATTGACCTGATAGATCAGTAGGAAACAATTGTTATTCTTGATTTGGATCAACAATGCATGAGGTAGCCAAACAATATAGTTTACAGTAGCTGCCTTTTTGACAGTGGTACTGGATTTTGATCCTAATCAGTAGCACAGGTATTGTAAATGTTAGGTCAGGAATGGCACTTCGGAATCGATCCTTCAAGAATGGCGTTACGCGGCATGAAACAATGCTCATTTTTCTTCACGACTCATCCAGCTCAGTGCACAGAGCCAAACAGTTATTTCACCTCTACGTAGGGTTCTGATTTGTAGTATTTGGCATCATTCANACTAAATCGGACAATCATATATACACTTTTCAGAACCATCAATGATAGTACTATCGAAAAGAAGCGCATTCTATGCTCCTACACATCTATAAATCTCGCATATATGATGGATACATTCTTAGTCAGTTTATTTGTGCAAAGGAATACAAGGGATTAAATCACTCCTATAAATGTATATTCGTAGTGTATTTGTGAGCGAAAAACATGGGCAGGATTTCGTATAGAATAATGTCTCCGTTTTGGAAAACTTTATTTCATCAGTTCCAGTTAAAAATCCAGCAACATTATTGGATCTATATGCATGTGTTAGGAAGGCACCAGGTGTAAGCGCATGAAATCCAGTGAGTATTTTCCCATCACACCACACGCCTTGCCAGTTAGTGAAGCCAACTGATTCTCAGTCAGATTTTATTTCCATATAAAATCCCGCCTTCCTCGAGTTAACTATACTTTTGAAAAGCCCCAGACTGAAGCTGTTTATACACTGCTGGTCTCCAGACGATATCACCGGTGTATTCACAATTAACAATACTGCATTTGATGTTGCAATTGATCAGTTCACCGTTTGCTCGATGTTGTCGACAAAAACAAACGAGACCTCTGCCCGAAGTCGTGATTGACTTTAATGGAATGAACACAATTTAGTTACTCGAAAAAGGACAGTTTAGTCTCACAGAACCTAAACCAAAGGATCCAACTAAACATTTCATCGAACTTCAATGGAGAAATATTTTTTACATTTGCCTATTGATGATCAGATTGTGGCAGGATTTTCATACTTCGTTATTGCTGCATTACACAGTCTTTGCGGCCGCGATTTGTATGAACTGGAGAAAGAAATGTGAGCATTGTACGGGATTGCAGACAAACACCACTTGTAGCCCCATCATTTACTACCCTAATTTAATTTCACCAGAAAAAAGTACAAGCAAATACCCATTCCATTCGCACAAATAAATTGTCCGTGGGTTGGTCCATCTAACTCAAGTCAACATCAATCAGCAGATTGCTATTGGATGGAGTCCGATTGTCGGATTCGCTCGAGGAAAGTCAGGTGGTCAAATAAAAAGGATAAATCCAATCAAGAAGAGGTATTTAGAGGCAGATGATAAGATTACTCCCGCCATTGCTGATTGGATAGTATAAATAAAATGTTTTCTTACTTAGCCCAACTGAATTGGAAGATTATGAGTTACATTTTTCCGGCAATTTCACAAAAGGTGAATTTATCCTACGTCCTGGTAGCAACAGTGGTGAATGAGGAAACCGAAAACAACATTGATGAAATCAATCGAGGGTACTACCAAATTATCATTTAGGCTTTGCCCGGCAGATGATTTTGATAAGCAAACACTGAGACTTCAAAATATGTAAGAGAATTGAATCCACCAAGTTACATTAGCCGTGATCTATCATATTTCAAACCACTGTTAATTTGTTCAAACTTATACCCACTTGAACTCAAACAAATATAGAAGTGCCTTTTATATCACTCAGTACTAGCAGAGTTAATTTATGTGAAGTAGAATAAAGGCCCCTGGTTGACCAAACACCGAGTTAGTTCACAGTTATATTCAAGAATGATACAGTCGGTTTCATGTAACTCTTACACAACACATTTCTGATCACGTCAACCGGGTTTATTGGTTCGTTTCTTACGGGGGCATGCCGATTTCACAAAACGCTTTTTATCTGTTCGTTGATGATGAACTAAATTTTGTTAGCTGTTTCTGGAAATGGTTTTATTCATTATCAATGAATGATTTGGTTTATTTTCCTGTTCAACTTCACAAAAACGGCCTGAGGATGACAAATAATAAATAAGAACAATCTGAAGAGATAAAGATAAGCACCCACACAGTCGTCAATTACCTGTTATTATCTCCGCCCATCTGACCCCTCGACAGTCCAACAGCTCTGGTTGTTTAAACCCTTTTAATTTTTGGGAGCCAGCACGACTTGCAATATCACAAAATAGACGTGAATTGTCGACATGCAATTTTAATGCGTGGCGTCAGGTTCATCTACAAATTTCTCACTGATATGCTAACTATTTTCTTTATAAAACCCCACCCACTCATCTCTTGATAGCATACCACGGTGTGCTACGTCTTGAAGAATTCTGTCATCTGTTTTCATGAATTGTTCTGATAATAGGAAGAACAGCTTTAGGTTTCTGTGTGGTTGTCTATCATTATACAGTACAGTAAATTAATTAGTTGGTTTTGATCGTTTCTGTCAATGGAATCTGGCGTCTACCTGAAAGTGGATCGCAAACAGTTTATCTAAGAGGACTTGATGCATGAACGTATGCAACAACAACATTATAAGATAAATAAAGGTGTGCAAGAGTCATATAGGTGGAGGCTCTCATTGAAAGTTTCAGGTTTGTCCGGAAAGAGAATCTGGATGATTCGACTGACTCGAAAATGAAAGTCTGTATTGGTGCACATTGGCGCACTTGTTATGTATGATTATTATTATTATTCCATTTCTTCCTTTGGTCTAAATAGTTTTAATGACTACACTAGGAAACTCCCAGGTAAAGACACACTAAGCTACCTATGCCGGTCACTTTGAAAGCACCGATTCAAACACGAACTACAAATATCACTTCGGAACCATGCCAGTTGGTGAGAGAGTCCACCCCATATATCTGGTTTTACTTGTCTCCTGTGCTACATGTTTTCGAATATGAAAAACAGTTTGCTAGGAAACCCTGTCATCAATATTTTAATATATATAATTACCCATCGGAATGGCCATACAAATGCAATTCTTCGCCTAAAGAAGCATGACTAACAAGATATAAACACGGATTTACCTTTTGAAGAGTCTGACGATAGGCCATCAAAACTACTGAACAACTTGTTTGATGCCTCACTTTGTGTAAAACCGGCATCATCCAAAAGAACGAAAAGTAGATAAATGCTATGCAAGAATGATATCATTATGTATGGCAAAACCAAAGTTTGCCAAAACCCGGTAGAGAGAAGATAATAGATTTTGTACGCTTTTTCCGTCAGATCTTTCGGAATCACACGAATTACCAGTGCCGTTGTCCAAAATACCACGCTCAAAATAGGCCCAAGTAGATCCAGTAGAGCTTTCCACTTCAATCGCGAATTCAATCTCATTTCCACTTGTGAAGCTTTGTTTATTCCGGTGGATTGTAGTTCCGATGCCAAATACTTCCGTAGTAGTCCCAAAGCGTGCATAGTGTAGATCAAAATGACAATGGAAATTCCAACACTTAAAATGCAGTTGTGTGTTTGATGCATTCTGAAGCGGTTAGTTTGGGCCACAAGCTCTTTAGCACGATCGCCGGTTCATCAGTTGCCTTTTGAAAGCACCATTATCGATCATGTCCTAGCGTGTAAGATTCGGCCAGGAGCGATAGGCACGTGAATTTCGTAATTGTGTGTGTCAACGCAACTTACAAACCACAGGATGAGAGAAGAAGCGCACAAAGTAATTTCGATTGATCTGTAGGTAAATTGGGATACATCAACTATCCGACGAAAAGATTACTAATTACAAAGGGCTGCACACGACATAACAATACGAAAAATGAAGGAGGATGGGGATTATTCACCAAGTCAAGTCACCTGTCAACCATTCACGTTGTTTGCATAGATCGGGAATGTGAGTATAAATGGCAGGAGCATCGGCAAACTTAAGTAACTGTTTGTTGAGTTGCAATTGATTTGAAATGCATGAGCTGGAGTCACAATCTGTTCATGATCATTACCCTGCGTCTCAATATGATTTGAATTTGTCTCACTATCATTTCAAGTTGTTCAATGTCATTTCACGTTGTTTGAGCATCATTTCAAACCTATCTCATTAAAATTATCCGAGGTTCCAGGCATCCTAGCGATGTTTGGATGAATAACATACAGCACAAACTTCTCAACCTCCTGTTGAAGCACGGGGTGACGATTGTACAACGTGCCTCGATCAGACAACACAATTCCCATGACATATCTTGATGCTTTACCTTGATAGTACGCGTACGCGTCTCTGTCTCTCCCTTTGTTCGTCTCCCTCCATTCCTCGCTGATATCAATGGATAATGCATGATCAGCGCCTTACGTTCGTCCCATGATACTACAACAGACTTCATAAGCCACAACACAAGCGGCTGCATTGAGACACCAATTGATCATGCCGGTTCGATATACTCATCCGTGTTGACCAGATTCACATTCAGCTTGTATACTATGTGGTACAGTATCAACACAGGAGCACCTTCAAGTAGTGAACAATCAGAATTACCACGTTGACAATATCCGGAACGGAATGAGTTATTTCCGCTAAGCCAATTACGATTGAAATAAGGCAACGAGGGCTGTTGAAGTATATAATATATTTTGTGATAGATACGGAATTCGATAAAAATTCTAAGTTCAAAAATTGGAATGCTTTTCGAAAATGCACTCTACTGAGTAAGGACTTGGATTTTGATAATCTTTATCGTATAGTCATGTAGTGAAACAATTCCACCACAAAGAAGAATCTCGGTGAATTGAGGCAAAGGTATAACATTCAGAAGTGGCTAATGCAAACTGGCTTCGAACAATCTTATTTTGTGTAATGCGAGGGTATGCCAGTTAGGCAGTTGCGCATGTGCATACAACCTCCATGGCGGTTTAGTTTTCGTTGTCTTGGGCTTCAGCGGACTAAATTCCCCCTTGAGGTGCAGAGTATTTGTTTAATCTGGCTTCAGTGCGCTTTTATATTGATATTTTCAAGTCCGGGTACCTCTATGATCAACACAGTCCAGCTGTGCGTACACCCTATTTCAAGCATTCTGGTCTAATAAGAAATGACAGTATAATCACCACTTCTATCGGTTTAACGTCATGACCCTTAGTGTCGCCAGTCATCCAGTTACAGAGTCTTTTGGACGCCTACCCGGAAGACGGGAGGTACCTACTCTACCTAATCGCTCTGTACATTTTTTATGCCTCATTTTCATTTCATAAGCTGCCCCCTACGTGGCCTTCTCTAGTTTGCGGTTGCCACTGCAAATAAGGCGCGGTGCGGTATGCGACCGGTAAACATACACAAAGTGTCCTAACCAGCGGAGCCTATTCGATGAGCTGGCAAGTTCATGTTCGATGCATTTCCATAAACCCGACAACTTACTTTTAGGTTATTAACCTGCTCACTCCATTTAACCCGGGCCAGACTACGTAAGCATCGATTGTCGAAAACCACCAGGCAACGGATTTTTTCTACCCGTACATTCAAGGTCTCACAACCGTAAATCAGAACTGATCATAAAGTGGCGCAGTATTCGCGACTTTTCAATTTCAATGAAACATCACATCGCCGCCACAGGTGTTTAAGTCCTGTGTACGCTACTTGAGCCATGGAAATGCGGACGGTTATCTCCTTCAATGTGCTACCGTCATTGGTCACGCAGCTACCCAAGTACGAGAAGCAGACAACTTATGTTCGTTCCCTAACAGTCTTATTTCAGAACGGGAGTCGGCGACACCCAGTCTTGCATCATCACTATGTAGGCGCAACCCGCATCCAGAACGGAGAAACAGAAGTTGCCAGTCTGTCAACTGCGCTTTGGTCATCCTCTATTCATTGGAACAGGCAAGCGAGGTCGTCACCGCACAGCTTTTCTCCAACTGACTATTCAATACCAACATTTCGGACACCACTGAGGGCGTTCTCCAGTATTTCGTCTATGAAGAAATTGAACAGGAATAGCTCAAGCCTTGATCGCGCATGATCCATTGATATCAGCGGAGCATGGCCCAAAGTGACTTTTAAGAGGCAGGGGGACAAACACACGCGCACACACTGAGATGCTTATGCGTACTAGCAAGTTAAACAATCCGAAAGCCTCAGCATGGTCGTGGGTGGGTGTCGGGGATTAAGACTGGTCACCATTCCCTTACACCTTGCGAAGTGTTCTGATATGACCAAGCGTCTCAAGTAGCCTCTGCTGAGGAAGTACCAATCACTGCCTTCCCGTGGCGGAGGTGTTTTCTCACCAAAGTGAGAGGAGGAAAAGCCAACACCCGGGGCTATAACCGAGTTGGCGACCCAATGGCAGTTCACCTAAGGGAGTTGGTCTAAAACCCTGATTCTAAACCAACCAAGATGAGGCTTACGAACCACACACACCTTCCTGGTCGTGACAATGGTCACCGGCTCGATTGGGCGTCAAGGTGTATTGGGCACCTTGGACGTTTGACCTCGTCCGAAGAGCTTGTGTTTCAGTGAACTGGACACCGGCCCCCAATGGACTGCGGACTCTGCGCTCCATCCTGTTGTCTTGTAGGTCTGGCTCTCTACCCAAAGGCTTCAGATGGGGACCCCGAGTTTATCCCCCTTCCTCGGCCAGGGCAATCGGGAAGTAACATGTCCACACAACCTATGAACACATTCTTCAGATTTCTTTCTATTCATATGTTGTGGCACATTTGCCAATTTTCTGTGGTTGGTTTCGTGTTGAAATAATAATAATAATAATAATAATAATAATAATAATAATAGTAAATTAATGTCATGGGAAGTGGTTTGTGTGTGTGTGACTGAGACACGTCTCAGAACTGTCCTTTACCCCAGCGCCTCAAAGGGAAGTACATAAAACTGTGCTACATGGTGCTCATCCAGACATCGCTGGAAGGTTTGAGCATTACAGCATGATTGTTCCATCGTTTCACATGATCTTGTCCCTGTCATCGGTGACCTCCAACATGTAAATTCCCTCTGACCCTCTCTGTGATCTGATCTGATCTGATCATTTTCCGTGACTTGCGTCACTTGGGCTCCCTCACTCCAACACGAGACTGTCCGACTATCGGCTT